AATATTTACATCAGATGAGAAGGTTAATAAATATAAATATAGAAATATGAATAGGAATAGTCTTTCATATGACACTGTGCAATGTGCAGCGTAGCTGTTACAATAATATAATATTTAGCGCATCACATGACTTCCGTAGTAAATTCGTTCCAATTGGTCAATATTAACCGGGTAATTGATAGGTCCAAGATTTACTATCTCAGACTATTATATTTTATACTTGAAATGACATTGGTCAAGTTTCATTAATAAAAATTATGGTTTTAGTCACTTAATAACTACTCTTGAAATAATAGTAAATATAACAAATAATAAATAATATTCAATCAAATCTTTTATTTTTCACATTCCATTCCTTGATACTTAATATTTATTGTCTTGCTAATTATTTAAAATATTTTCAATGAAATGCAGTTTTTTTATGTTTGAATCCCATAATCATGATCTTCAAGTGGATTAATAAAATTTTTCAATGATGAATATTGAACATCATTCAAAATAAAATCAACAGAAAAATTTAGTTGTTCAAGTCATTGTTCAGGAGTTGGTCCTTCCCAATCAATGTCATTCATTGTCAATATCCATGACTTCTATACCACAAAAACCACATTCAACCATCCTTTTAAGAAATATTGCCTTAGTGTTAAATGTTTTTCGGTCCATATAGAGTGAAAATTCCAAGATTGAGCAAATAAATCTAATGTCAAATTAACTTGTGGAATATATACATAATGCAAAGAATTTGTATTTATGTTGTTATCTATATCTAATAAATTTTGTTCTTCCAAAAAGTAAAAAATTGTTGAAAACAATCTAACAACTATTCTATGAACATCTCATCAAAGCCTTTCAATTCTTTAGTTGCTACCTGCAATATAATTACCTCTATTTAATCCTTTGTTTAAAAGCATCCATTTTACTACTTTACAATTCTCTAGCCCATGATCACCTCTTATTCTACTTGGGCATCCCCATTCTTTTATTGCTTCTAGAAAAAGTAAAAGAACTGTAGATGATTTATTATTGTTGCAACATTTTAAATATGTTATTGTTCATGAATATCCATCAATGCCTTCATGCACTACTAACTTCCATCAAATTAATTTATGATGTCCATCTATGTGCCATAGAGAATTAGGACCAGCAACTTTGTATTTACAATGAGGTACAGTTTAGATCCAATGATTGATCGTACCCCAAGAATCAATCATATGCAGAGAATCATGGAGATATTCACAATGTACATGAATATTTAAGGATTTAATAACTCCATAATTATCTTTGTCCTGAATAGGGTTACTCACTCAGAATGCAACAGTTAATAAGTGGTTAATTCGTGATTCTTTTAAGAATGAGTGAATTTTAATTAGTGATTGGTGGGGCACATTTGTAACATTTTATAGTAAAAATCATCCAGTTCGCCTTACATATCCTATTGTAACATGATGTTTCCACTTGCATTTTTTGTAAAACAAACATTTGGATATCAATAAACAGACTGTTATGAATATTTTTATCAAAAAAAAATTTTTTTTTGTTCAAGCTGTTTTTGCACTATTTCAATCTTGATTGGGGATTATGGGTATAAAGTTAACATAATACAAAATAATGGTTTGTCCAACTCTTTCTCAGCTGATTCTTTTTTATGTTCTCTACTAAAACTTGTTACTCATTTGCATCCAACTTACCTGCTTCTACTCTTTGTTTTAGATCTGTAAGCATTTCTTATCTACATTTCTG